CTCTTTCCTTTGCTTTAACTTTCAAGTCTCCGCTGGACGCAGGAGCTGTTCGATGGGAATCAGCAAAATGCCCCTCCAAACCGAGCTGCGCCGAGAATTCGCTCAAAATAGAAAAGGCTCAGTTCATAAATTATAAAGTTAAAGCAAAGGAAAGAGCATGGTTATTTTCAACTGATCGATAAAAGTATCTGCAACAGACGCAAAAAAACAGTTATTACTCACCTGAACAGCTTGCTGTACTCGATCTTCACTAAAAATATCTTCAAGACCTTCTAATGATATTTGTGGGATGACATCAGGGTAAGTCTCTGGTAACTGCAGAACTAGGGCAAGATCGAAATCGTAGGCACATTCATTTTCCTGAAAAACTTTTTTTGTATGCGAACAAATTGGAAACAACATAGATTGTTTTGCCACATGAAAGGATAATTTAAGCCAAGCTCCCAGCGGCCTATTTGACTGAGCTCTCATATTACCAAGAAAACGGCTAAAATCATTTTACAAATAAAAATGGACCAAAATTATATAAATGAAAGCCCGATACGATGTTTAGTAGTAAAAGGAACGGGTGCTGTGACACAATGAAAGAAACTGTCGCTGTTCGGCTTGAAAGGGGCATTATTTGGCTAGCTCCTCTTGCTAGTGCATGTTAAGTAATAGGTTAACAACCCGTAAACTCTTGGAAAGCTACGAACTGGTACGAGTTAACCACTTCAGTCACAGGAAGTTACAGATCATCACACGGTGAGTGGTACAAGTCTCATGGAGCACCATTTGGTGCCCCCAGCAAGCCGAATCGCGCCAGGAAACGAAATGAACCTATAATTTTTGGAAGAAAATAATCCATTCGGTGAGAGGAGATCACCTGGTTTGATTTGAGATTCACTCGCAATGAAATATTCGGATACTGATCACAAGTGACTTGAAGCTCGTCTTCTTGATAAATGGCTTGTAGAGCTTCTATCTCCTGCGTTTGCTGTTCTTTGTAATCCATCTGGAATTTCTGAAACCTGTATTTGTTTTGACACATGAATGGATCCATTAGTCACCAAATGAAATGCAATTTGCTAGCAAGATTTGGTCTACAAATTAGAAAGAGAAGAAACAGAGCATCAAATTCAACTGAAAATTGCTTCTGAAACATTTGAGAAGATGTATTTCATTGCTTCATTGAGGCTAGAAGCAGGGGTACCAAAAAGAAGTAAAGATTTAAGCAAAAGAGACTCAGGAGTATAAGATGCTGAATAATTCTACCAAACTTCTCTGAAAACGAAATCTACACAGCTCAACAGTAACCCTCGATAGTAACTATTATTCAAGATTTAGTGTTTCATAATGCAATGCTTAAAAACATTTACAAACACCAAGATTCTATTAAAACACAAGAAAACCATGTCACATACCGTGCACAGTTGCGACCTCTGTATCGGCACATTACGTGATAAACAGTGTCGTCTGTTCAGGACCCGCCTTTCGGATCGGGTCAGCTGTATTCGCTGGAGCGGGGATTTGCAGTTACCGCTAGGTTACAGAGCCTGTCAACCAGACGTGCTCTCACTGCGAGGGTCCAAGGGTATTCTTGTGGCGTCTACCAGCCAAGTAGTTGAAGGGCGAAGGTAAAGAAGGAGGGAACAGAGAAGGAAGGGAAGAAAAGAAGGAAGGAGGAAGGAAAACGGAAAGAGAAGTGAGGCTCCGCAGTTAATAGGTACCTAGAGACGGTCACCGCTATGTACAATGAATCATTGCTGTTATTCACGTAATCACTCAAAATATCTACTCCTCCGTAAGCTAGAACCCGTGCCTTCTACTGTCAGCGGCATAGGCCTCTTAGTGTCCAAGAGACTTTTTTTATGATTCGGCCAGATTTTCGATTAATTTTAGTTTAGTACTCCGATGAGAACAAGATGAAATTTACCGCCGACGTTTTGAGTTGCAAATGAGATGTTTATTTGGAATTAGTTAGTTCTTACTCGCAAAACATGGAGCATTTGAGATCGACGTAAATGCTCCTGTGTTGAGTCCACTGCCTATGAGGGAAGAGGCTATCACGACAGGAATAGATGTTGAGGGAAAAAGAGGCGTTCATGCATTTCTCATGTGGATCCCGAAGACACCTTCAAGACCTGTCTTTCGCGCGCCGCATGGGGCAACTTGGCGTTTTCGAGCTCCCCTTGGGCCAGGGTAAGAAGAGTGGTGCTGCCCGGTATACAAGAGACTATCATGTTACGTGTAGGGTAAGGAGTCGAGGTTAAGAAAACCGTGGGTCGTAGCGTCCGTGAAACAAGAATAATTAACTATCGGAAGAATATTTTCAGACCAAATACGACTCACCTCTCTTCCACGTAGTCTTGGGAAGGAAAATGCAAAAACAAAAGGACGAAAAAAAAAACACCTGCGAAGGGCGGGGTGTACCGATCCACTTGTCAGGGTGGAATCATGGATTCGACCAAAAACGGAAAAAAGAGAATGATTGGAAGAGAGATAATGTGTACCAGTAATACTACATCTGAAAACAAAGTGAAATGACCTTTTAATAAGAATTAGTGGACAGGACAGAAAGAGTAAAGAGAGTAAAGGTGAAGAGTAAACGTCTATAGAAGGGGACAGTATGCGCAGATAGTGAGCGCCGGTTGACCCGTGTGCAGGTGCAAGCCTCCCTCTCTCTTATATGGCTATCCCCAGGTACCATACTAGCCAGTGCCATCAAATTCTTTTGCATGGTTTTTTATTTTCAGATTCCCCATTTTCTCCTTTCTTGCCTCCTTCCCCTCTTTCTTGCCCCCTTCGCCTCTTTTTGCTGTTCTCTGACAGTGGGGTTGATTACTTGCAGAACCTGATGGATTCTGACCCCTCTTTTCAAGCAAAGTTGGTATGGGGCAGGAAGCTTTGTGATTACGTGAACATCAGTGCTATCACTGCCCTTACCCTTCTCAGAACAGCTAACAGATGCCTTTGGAATCTACAGATGCCAGTATACTGCCAACTCATCTTCCATCCTCTAGTCAAAATTGGCGCTATATTGCCAGTGTTGGCAACATATTGCCAGTGTTAGGAACATATTGCCAGTGTTAGCAACATATTGTCAGTTGACTTACCCTCCTTTCAAGCAAAGTTGGCTATATTGTTAGTGTTAGCAACATATTGCCAGTGTTGGCAATATATTGCCAGTTGACTTACCCTCTTTTGGCCAGCCGTGCCGGCTCCAGCCAGAACAGGCCAGGCCGGCACATCAATATGTATGTTTCGGGAGGAGCGGTTGGAGGGAGGGCGGGGGAGTTATCGAGGGTCGCGATCACGAATATAATATTGCTTTCTGTCACTGGCGCCATTTGGCGCCATCACTTTTTTCAAAAACTTCTCTGCAAACTTGTATCCGGGGGTTATCGAGGGTCGTGATCACAAATATGATGATGGTTTCTGTCTCTGGCGCCAGAAAGCGGTGGCGCCAAAATGGTGCCTATTATTTTTGCCTCTGGCGCCAGAAAGCGGTGGCGCCAAAATGGTGCCTATTAGAGCCAGATGGCGCCAGCGTCACAAGCCACCACCTATTCGTGATTAAGATCCTCGATAACCCCCGAATAGAAAATTGCAGAGAAGTTGTTGAAAAAAGTGTTGGCGCCGAAATGGCGCCCATTCGCGCCAAATGGCGCCAGTGACAGAAACCAATATCATATTCGTGATCACGACCCTCGCCAACTCCTAGTTACAGTTTTTCAGCGAGATTATGGCAAAAAGGTGTTGGCGCCAAAATGGCGCCAAATGGCGCTAGTGACAGAAATCAATATCATATTCGTGATCACGTCCCCTCAGTACAAGTTTGCAGCGCATGTACGCGATTGAATACGGTTAGCGGTACCTACAGTACCTTCTTCTCATCGTCGCTGAAAGGATCAATGCTGGCGCTGTGTCGAAATAGTTGCAGGCAT